AGAGTTGGGGAAGATGGTCCGATGTTTTCATTTGCCAAACAAGGGTAAGGAACTCATACCGAATCCCTAGGACCCACGTAAAGCCAGGGGGCGCATGGTGGCCTGCCTGTAAACCCAGATCTCAGAAGGCAGAGTCAGGATCCCTGGAACAAGCTGGCTAGCTACTAGCTGATTGGCAGGCTCTGGCTTCAATGGCGATCCTTAATGAATTAGGTGAAGAGCCATGAAGAATGTCTCATGATATCAGCCTCAGGCTTACACACACACACACATACACCTGCAATCCCCTCATGGGCCCCACACTCATGTGAACCATTATGCACGCACACATGCACCATGCATACACGCATTCACATGAATTCTGAGATCTGGACGAAATTATCCCCCAGACATAAAGACAAAATAAGATGGAAATTAGGGGTAGTTCCAATTACCCTTGACTCTCCCTTCAGTCCCCTGTGCATGAAGAAATGCCCATGCTTTTTTTCTGTGTGGCACTGCAGAGTGGAAGTGTGCATACACACCAGTGTAGAAAACGATCAATAGGGGCTGGAGGGTTGGCTCAGTGGTTAGGACCTGACTCTTCTTCCAGATGACTTGAGTGCAATTCCCAGCACTCACACGGTGGCTCGGAACTGTCAGTAACTCCAGTTCCAGGGGAGCTGATGTCCTTGTCTGCCCTCCCTGAGCACTGCAAGCACATAGTGCACAGGTATAAATACAGAAAAAACACCTATACAAATAAAATAAATGTATAAAAACTTTTAAAGTATGTTTTTAATTTGAAGTAGGTAGATCCACTATTTTTTCTTTTTTCTTTTGATTTTTCGAAACAAGGTTTCTTTGTGTAACCTTGGTTTTCCTGGAACTCACTCTGTAGACCAGGTTGGCCTCCAAATCATAAGAGATCTGCCTACCTCTGTATCCCAATAGTTTTAAGCCGGGGGGTGGGGGGTGGGTGGCGCACACCTTTAATCCCAGCACTCGGGAGGCAGAGCCAAGCGGATCTCTGTGAGTTCGATGACAGCCTGATCTACACAGAGAGTTCCAGGCCAGCCGAGACGAGGGAGAGAGAGAGAGAGAGAGAGAGAGAGAGAGAGAGAGAGAGAGAGAGAACTGTCTAGAAAAGACAAAAAAAGAAATAGAAAAAGAGAGAGAGGGGAGGGGAAGGAGAGAGAGAATAGACAAGACAAGAAAAAAAGAAAATGCCACTGATAAACTGTGGTTCCCAGCACAAGATCAAGCCAATCAAATTCTAGCTTGCATGGGCGGGGCTTGTGAGGCTCCACCCCTTGCTGTGTTGCTACTGGCAACTGATGGCTGGGGAGGTTGGGTGAGCAGTGTGGCTCCTGGTAGGTTGCCCATATGCATCCGGAAGCACTAATTAGACTCAATGGGTTATTAAAAAACAAAAACAATGAAAGACTGGGGCGGGGAACAGAGGTGGGGGGGTGGCCATGATGATGGCAGCAGGTAACGGTGCCCTCCACCAGCCTCGGATCACCATGTGTGCATGACATGTGGGCATGAGTGTGCATATACACTCAAGTGAAATCTAATTTTTTATTTTGTCTTGTTTTTGAGACAGGGTCTTACTATGTAGGTTTGGCTGGCCTGGATCTCGCTCTGTAGACCAGGCTGGCCTGGAACTCACAGAGATCTGCCTGCTTCTGCCTCCCGAGTGCTAGGTTTAAAGGTGTGCACCACCATGCCCAACTCTTTTTTTTTTTTTTTTTTAAAGGTTGATTACAGGCCTCATTCCAGGACTCAGGAGGCAGAGGCCTCTCTATGAGTTCAAGACCATCCTGGTCTACATAGTGAGTTCAAAGACAGCCAGAGCAACACAGTGTGATTCTGTCTCAAAAACAAAACCAAAAAACCCAGGACCACCTGCCCAGAGGTCGCAGCGCCCACAGTGGACTGGGCCCTCCCCCATCAATCATTAATCAAGAAAATGCCCCAGAGGCCAATCTGATGGGGGCATTTTTTTCTCAACTGAGGATCTATTACCCAGATGATCCCAGCTTGCGTCAAATTGACAAAATAAAACAAAACAAACAAACAAACCAGCACCCATGACTACAGCGAAATCACTGAAACTGCCAGTTAGTAACTGACAAAAAAAATAACTGAGTCATCTGATAATAGGTATTGATAATAGCTATTATTAGAGTCATGGGTGACCTTTGACCCTGGGTGGACCAGGACCTGTGTCTGGGAGAGAAAGCATGAGTATGTGAGTCACTGGGATTCAAGTTCAAATTCCAACGCTCCTCTCTGACTCAATCACTTTTTCATTCATTTATTCACTAACAAACAGCACAGGCCTGAGTGTTGATTAAAACGGCGCGCTGCTCGTGGCAGAGGAGATTGCTGGTCGGAAGAAACACAGGCCATAGTTACCTTTTTAGAGCTTTATTGGGAGAGAGGGGAGAGAGAGAGAGAGAGAGAGAGAGAGAGAGAGAGAGAGAGAGAGAGAGAAAGAGAGAGAGAGAGAGAGAGGACAGAAGGAAGGAGCAGAAAGGGAACAGAGGGATGCACAGAGGGCCCACCCGCTTTTTAGGCTGGGACGCCGTCACAGGCTCATGACATAATTAAGGACTGAATCCTTACACTGCAAGCCCATCATTCCAGAGGTGGACACAAGAAGGCCAGGAGTTAGGGCCAGCCTTGGCTACCTAAATGAAGTTGAAGCCAGCCTGGGCTACCTGAGTGCCTGTTCAAAAATAACAATAACATGGGACAGTTTTGGTGGCAAAGGCCTTTAATCCCAGCATTCAGGAAGCAGAGGCAGGTGGATCTCTGTCAATTTTAAGCCAGCCTGGTTACTTAAGAGAATCCTAGACCAGCCAGGGCTACAAAGTGAGGCCCTATTAAAAAAAAAAAAAAAAAAAAAAAAGTAACAAAAACTAATAGCACAATATTATCCCAGCAGTTGAAAGGCAGAGGCAGGTGGATCTTTATGAGTTTGAGGCCAGCCTGGTCTACGTAGCGAATTCCAGCCCAGCCAGGGCTACGTGGTGAGACCCTGTGTCTCAGTTAGGGTTCCCGTTGCTGTGATGAGTAGGAAATGGCTTATTTCTGTTTACAACTCTGGGGCCACACGCCATCACCGAGGGAGGGGGGGGCAGGAACTGAAGCAGGGACCATGGAGGAGCACTGCTCACTGGCTTGCTCAGCCTGCTTTCTCATATAATCCAGGACCACTGCCTGGGAACGGCACCACCCTTAGTGGGCTGGGCCCTCCCCCATCAATCAAGAGCTGCTAGGCCGGGCAGGGATGGCACAGGCCTTTAATCCCAGCATTTGGGAGGCAGAGGCAGGTGGATCTCTGTGAGTTCAAGGCAGCCTGGTCTACAGAGTGAGTTCCAGGACAGCCGGGGCTGTTACACAGAGAAACCCTTCTCCAAAAAAAAAAAATAATAAATTAAATAAATAAATAAATAAATAAATAAATAAATGTAAAAATTTTAAAAAGAAAGAAGGAAAAAAAGAAAATGCCCCACAGGCTTGCTCACAGGCCAATCTGATGGAAGCAATTCCTCAACTGAGTTTCCCTTTTCTCAGATATGTCTGGGTTTATGTCAAGTGGACAAATAAATAAATAAGGGGGCTGGAGTGATGGCTCAGAGGTTAGGAGCACCGACTGCTCTTCCAGAGGTCCTGAGTTCAATTCCCAGCACCCACATGGTGCCTCACAAACATCTGTAATGAGAGCCAGCACACTCTTCTGTATATGTAATAAATAAATAAATCTTTTTTAAAGACACATGCTCAGCTATGTTCATAGCAGCACTATTTGTAATAGCCAGAACCTGGAAACAACCTAGATGCCCATCAACGGAAGAATGGATGAAAAAAATGTGGTACATATACACAATGGAGTACTACTCAGCAGAGAAAAACAATGAAAGCATGAAATTTGCAGGCAAATGGATGGAACTAGAAAAAATCA